GAAATATATTTTTTTTATTTCTCTGACATGCAGGTTTCCTCCCAATTTTTTCCTTTACCGCCGAGCACGTGGTAAAGCAGCACTCAAAATTGCAATTAACAATTTCATTGGTGCCGGCGAGGATCGAACCCGGGTTACTCGCGTTCTGTTATATTACAACAAGCGTTAACCATCTAAGCTACCACGGCTCGATATATATATATATATATATATATATATATATATATATATATATATATATATATATATATATATTTTATACATATATATAAATGAAATGTTTTAGGAAGTTAAGCATCTCTACATTTTTGTCTTTCAGTTCAGGCTTCGAAATGGCTCAACACAATCGATGAATCTTCATAAATAAGTTGACAGTAATGCCAGGATCTAGGCTATATTTTATTAAAAAATCCTGAAGATTTATTAGAGAAATATTGCCACATTAATAGACCCTACTGAGTCGAAGCTTGGGTGGAGCACTTCTTTTAAATAATTATGCACCTTTATTATTTTCATCTTTTAATCATTCAGCTTAAAGTTATTGAGATTGTAGTGATGAACGAGCACTCGGGTGAAACATGTTCACTCGCTGTAGGTAGGTGAAATGCCCCATAGACACATCTATGGTCTATCCTCGATTAAGGATCAAACTGCAGATGCATTGTCACCTCTGAGAGTTAAAATGGAATGCCTCGTTACAAATAGAAAGGCTCTGTGTCTCTATTAATCTTTCGAAACTCTTTTTGTTTTTTTTTCTTTTCATTAAAAGTTTTAGCCGTATCATTAAAACGTTAGACATATAGACATATACGCTAAAACTCAGAACAATTATTTGTAGCCCATGCAAATACTAGTTTCGTGTGGGTTTCGAACTTACAGCTACCAGTTCGGTAAGGCGCTACTGAACCAATATTAATATTATGCTACCATGTTCGGGTCGTAAATTCAAGTGCCAATAATACCGCCTAAGCGTGGTTTTATTACGTTAAAAGAAACAAAAATATTTACACAGACGAGGTTTTTGTTATAATACGATAAGTATTTAAAGACTGCTTTGTAAACAACTTGAATCAAAACCTTTTTCTGAAAAAAGATTTTAACGTCGTTATTTTAAATAAACAACTAATGGGAAGTCTCAAAACACTCTGTTTTGATTAAAAATTATTTTTATAATTTTAATAGTCACACAAAATTATAATGGTCATTAACAATGACATTAGAATAACATATATTTATTTTGACTGATACTCATAAAATTTTTAGGTTTCTATATTAAGCAAGCTGAATTTCACTTCTCATCATCATCATTACAGCCCTTCACAAGTCCACTGCTGAACATAGGCCACCCCCAAGGAATGCCACAACGCATGGTCCTGAGCCACCTGCATCCATCAACTTCGTGCATGTCTTACCAGGTCGTCACTCCATCTAGTGGGAAGTCGCCCTATACTATTCCCACCGGTACGAGGTTGCCACTCGAGAACCTTTATTCCCCATCGGATCTTCGAGCTATATGGTCGGCCCATTGACACTTGAGTTTACTAATTCGTTGGGCTATGTCGGTTGCTCTGGTTCTACTGCGGATATTCTCATTCCTAAGTTTATCGCACAGGAAACCCCCAGCATAGCCTTTTCCATAGGTTGCTGAGCGGACCTTGAGCGTTCTCATATGACCAGCAGTGAAGGACCACGTCTCAAATCCGTAAGTCATCACTGACAATATGCACTGGTTGTACAATCTAGTTTTCAGGTTTTGAGGTATACCTGACGAGAAGATGTGTTGTAATTTCGCGAACGCTGCTCTGCCGAGTTGAAACCGTCGATTAACCTCTTGGTCGAAGTTGGACTTACCTAGTCGAACTACTTGTCCCGGGTAAACCTACTCGTCAACAACTTCGAGCATAGTGCTCCCAACAACTACCGGCATAGGTGTGACATGGATATTAAACATGTTCTTTGTTTTGTCCATATTCATTTTAAGACCTAATGATTTCTTATATTTACGCGAACACTATACATTGATTAAAACTAATTTTACGGATTTTATCGCGTTTTAATTGTTTTATTTTTAATACCCGACGTTTCGGGTGCTTTCCAGCACCCATGGTCACGGGGGACTGAGGTGACTGACGTCCCGATGTCAAAGTTAACCCGGAGTACCTTCAGCTTTTTAATTATTGTCTTTGGTCCGATCTACGCAGAATGAAATAACTGCGTTTTGAAGTCTTGCAGTGGTATGCTTGGGTTTAGTTTTACTTTTATTAACTATAGGATCCCAAGCAGGCGGTAGTACCTTTAGTTGAAATTAGGATGTTTTTTAATCTAAATAGCCTCACGTATCATCCTTGGTAGGAATCGATATTCTTTCGCGAGTATTTGTGGTCTATCAAATCTGATGTAATGGTTGGGGCCATCTAGGATATGAACGGAAACTGCAGACTTCTCGGAACGTTGATGCTTCAGGTCAGCTATGTGTTCTTTTACGCGGGTTCTCTTTGTTTGCCCTATATATGAGAGACCACAATCACAATCAAGCTTGTACACTCCTGCATCTTGTAGAGGAATACGACACTTGACGGATGGTAAGAACTGACTAATCTTCTTCGGTGGCTTATAGAATGTTCTAATAGAAGCTCGCTTCAAGATGTAGCCAATCTTGTCTGTGACACCTCTGACATAGTACAGCAAACACGTTCGACTGTGGCCGGCTTCACTCGGTCACTGTGATGGAGGCGCGGGACCCGAAGCTTATTATCGTGCAGAACCTGCTTACTTGTAAAACTTACTACTTGTAAAAATTTATGCTGTTCGTTTTTAGCTGAAAAAAGTGAACCTATTCTATGATAAATTTGCCCTTGCACCGTAAATGTAGGCGTAAATCCCGGCATTATTATTTCCCGGTCAACTCCGAAGGACGTCATTTGAAAGCATGAGTTATATTTCCGGATCCTGTTTAAAAAGCGCCGTGACTCATTAGCATCATATAAAAAGAGATTTTTCAAAGGTTCTTCTGGTTCCTCAAGTAACGGAAGAGACACTTTGCCATTGGAACAGCACATGCCTGCGGTCTCATCTTTTCATTTTAAAGCGCTGCAAAATCGACACGCCTTGTCCATCAGTCCGATAACAACTAACCTGTGATTTTTATAATCAATCAACGGATCATAATTGAATGCTGCGTCATTAAAAACCGACCAATTGTTTCTTTGAAAATTTTGTCGACGTTCAGCTTGGAGCTGTGCATTTGCATCTCTTCGCGCCTGTGTCTGTTCTGGTGTTTCAGATGCCCTTATAGTAGATTGACGTTCAGCTTGCTCAATGAGTCTGTATTGAGTTTAATCAGGTGTTTCCGCGGCTCTTAAGGCAGCCTGACGTTCCGCTTGTTAGAATAGCCTTTGCTGACTTTGAGCAGGTGTTTAAGTAGCTCTTAAAGTAGATTGACGCTCTGCCTGTTCAAGATGCCTGTGCTGAATTTCATCAGGTGTTTCAGAAGCTCTTAAAGTAGCTTGACGCTCTGTTTGTTCAAGACGCCTTTGATGACTTTGAGTAGGTGTTTCAGTAGCTCTTAAAGTAGCTTGAAGCTCTGCCTGTTCAAGACGCCTTCGCTGACTTTGAGAAGGTGTTTCAGAAGCTCTTAAAGTAGCTTGACGCTCTGCCTGTTCAAGACGCCTTTCCTTACTTTGAAAAGGTGTTTCGGAAGCTCTTAAAGCAGCCTGATGCTCTGTCTGTTCAAGACGCCTTTGCTGACGTTAAGAAGATGTCTCAGATGCTCTAAAAGCAGTCTGACGCTCTGCTTGTTCTTGCCTTCTCAGTTCAGCATCTTCTAAAGATTCTAGCGATCGAGCTAATCTTTTCGCTTGTCTTTGAGAAGATACTCTTGAAAGGCTGGACTTACGTTTGCGAGGCATTATGAAGTAACAAAAAACCTATTTGTAAAAAAACGTTAAAATACCTTAAAGGAATTAAATTCTCTGTTGCGAAGTGAAAGAAGGACAAACAAACAAACAAACAAAAAAAACACATTTTCCATTTATAATATTAGTATGGATAATATTAGTATGTATTTTCCTATTGTACTATATGTATTGATATTAAAACCAGCCAGATACAAAATAAGAAGAAACTTTTTCCCCGACCTATTATATAATTATTTTTATTAAAATATTCTATTTATAAATAGCTGAGATTTTATTACTAGCTATTACCTGCTTACTTAGTGAGGTCTATAGATTGGTAGGTACAGATTTAAATTCTCCCATCCACTCTTACATGTATTTTGGCACTCTTGAATCTGATTTGAGAACAAAGGAATTTTATTTTCTCTTAGTGATCTAAATGTGAAACGGACAAAGGAAAAGGCGGGCTCACCCCAAATATTTCATGTGGAGAGGTACAGAGCAAGTAGGTAAAAGCGGTTAGAAATATCCTTGAAGGTTCAAACCATTAAAGGTTTCTAAAAAATTAAGCATGCTTAAATTACTTGAGTGTTTTTTTATTTAACTTAGTTATAATGGGGGTTTCATTTTATTTCTTTAGCATTTCTTTTCTATATCACAGAATAGTATCGTAACTTAGTTTTTAAGAGAACTAGGTGGAAAATATTAAATAGTATGAACGATGCTTAATCAAATATTGTTCAAATAATCTATGATTTGCCTACGATCAATAACGTCCTTTGGCTACTTTTTACTTCCCTTGCTGCATAGATAAATATATTTTTCCCTGTCATTTAATGGCTAACTGCACTGTTCTCATTTTCGTACAAGTCTTGACTTATTAAACCAAATTATTAAAGTGGATACACATTTTTTATTTTGCTATCGTCGCCATGTCTTACGTTTTACAAATAATTGAGCTATCCCATTGTCAGGCAAGGGCTTTCATGCAGAGTAGAGACGGCTACGCTGCTCCAACACGTGCCGTAGATATCGTATTCAGTGTAAAGACCCGAGCAACCCAACCAGCGTTCCGTTCAGCAGATTTGTTCTAGGACCAGATCGATGCCTCGGGCACTATGGGTAAGGACTCTTATATCAATGTTTGTTATATTTTACGAGAAGTTTATACGTGGTCGAGCCATGCTGCAGTTATATTAGTAGTATAATTATAGCACGAATGGATTGGCTCGACCGGGGAAGGACCACACTCTCACAGAATACCAGCGTTGTGTTTCGTATGATGAGTGTAGAGAACCGAAGACCCTTTTAACTGGAAACGAGGCATTCCATCTTAGTCCTCAGGGATGACAACATATCTGCATTTTGATTCATAATCTAAGATAGATGTATATGTCTATGGGCCACAGCAATCAAATACCATCGGTAGGACTGTGTGCTCCTTTGTCTCCCTAACTTATAAAAATATGTTAAAAACATAATTGTTCTTCATTGCACCATAAAAAATGACCTTTTATTACCATTTATTAATCTATCTAAAGGACGCTCATCTAGAGACCATTTAGAACAACTACAGTATGTTTCTTATTACATGCCATTTCCTTTCTAATAAACGTAAGAGCTTGTGTATAGCTCTAATATACACTAATTACGTGTGAACGGGAAAATGAAGAAATAATTAGCTATAGTTGCTTAATACTGCTGTGCTTCGTACGGTAAGTGCAGATAACCGGAGAACCTTTTTACTGGAAACGGGACTTTCCATTTTAGTCTTCAGTGGTGACAAACCATCTGCATTTTGATCCATATTCTAGGATAAATGTAGATGTCTATATGCTACCATCAGGTGGACCGTGTGGTCGTTTGTTACCCCTATTCTATAAAATATATATTGTGAAATTTTCATTTGGCTTTAGGTTTTTTATTTGTTTAGTCTTGATGTAAAGTGACAACTGCAGTCCATAGACACCTGCAGTTAACTTCAAACAAAGAAGATTCCACATAATTTACAAGATGTTTCACAGAATGATGTACAAGATGTCACACACAATGATGTACAAGATGTTACACACAATGATGTACAAGATGTCATACACAATGATGTACAAGATGTTACACAGAATAATGTACAAGATGTCACACACAATTATGTACAAGATGTCACACACAATGATGTACAAGATGTTACACACAATGATGTACAAGATGACACACACAATGATGTACAAGATGTCACACACAATAATGTACAAGATGTTACACACAATGATGTACAAGATGACACATACAGTGATGTACAAGATGTCACACACAATGATGTACAAGATATTACACACAATGATGTACAAGATGTTACACACAATGATGTACAAGATGTCACACACAATGATGTACAAGATGTTACACACAATGATGTACAAGATGTCACACACAATGATGTACAATATCACACACACACAATGATGTACAAGATGTCACACACAATGATGTACAAGATGGTACATAGTTATGGATGCACCCCGTCCCTCTGTTTTAGACTAGTATATTAATATATATTATATCGTATTATTTAGGCTAAGCGATAAAAGTAACACATCAGCATTTTATATAAGATTCCTAGTACTTAGTTGATGAGTCGAACGTCTGCGTACGAACAGACTTTTTAAGATTCATTCATTATTAAAGCCACCTCCAAATCGGTGAGACGTATTAATTTAGTCGTAGTTTAGTTTTTAAAAACTCCTTTCGACGTTCCCGAAATTTGACTGGCGCAGCCGGTAGGATTTGCTCGTGAAAGCTGTGCCGTCTCTCGATATATTCAGGTGTCCAAATTCGCCTGGATTCGTGATAGCGGTGCGATTAGCTGTTGGGCAAATTCAAGAACCAAATAAATTTGTCATCAAGGGAAGTGGAAGCGGAAGGCATGGGAATAGCAGCTGGTTGGTGAGTAAAACTTTTCACCATCCTTGATACCACTGTTATCCTTCACTTTTAATTTAATTTGTTATTATTGAGATCGGACTTCTCTCATTATAACGTATCTGGTTTTTAATTAATTCCATTTAGTAATAAGACACTCCGTTACTGTAGACATAACATAACGCTGATAAGCTTAAGGGACGCAGAGTGCCTTTCGCACAGAGATTATTGAACGCTTTAAAATAAATAAGACTTTTATAAAAGTAATAAAATAAAATCTAATTAAAAGTTTACTATAAAAGACAATTAATTAATATATGTTTTATTAATGCTAGAGATATAATATAGTTTTATTTCATTTATTTTCTTTTTATTATATTTACACATTTTATAAAATTTATGGTTAGATTAACTTTTATTTTATAAATTACATTGTTATATGCTTTAGCGTGTTCTACCTTATATGTTTTGTTATTGCATAAAATAGTGCACTATATTAACTGAATCCTCTGACTCGTGCATTACTCTATAACGATGGAACAACCACAGGCAGCAGAACGACAAACCGTTGTAATTAATCCCATACCTACAGAGATGCTACGGCTTATTTCACTTTTTAATGGCGATAAAAGACAGCTAAATTTATTTTTGAGGAAATCTGAATATGTCATTCGTAGGTATAGGGGTGACGAAGAACAAAATTTATATGTATATCACTCCATAACTAGTAGGCTTACAGATAACGCGGCGTCGCTCTTATCGGAACGTGAGGATGTCGAGACATGGTCCCAGTTGAAAGATTTGTTAACACAGCACTTCGGAGACCCGGTAGCAGGAGTGTATTAGTATTGAATTAGAATCCTTAAAAATTAAATCCGGTGAAAGCTTTCAAGATTTTTGTAACCGCATTCAAAGTATTCGATCATTATTAATTTCAAAAGTAAACATATCCGATGATAGTAATCTTAAAAGCGCTAAATTGGCAATTTACAATAATACGGCCCTAAACGTGTTCCTATACAATCTTCCCGAGAATATGGTTCGAATAGTAAGGTTAAAGAAGCCAGCGACTTTAGAGGACGCGCTGAGCATTGTACTGGAGGAAGTCAACTTCCACGATCAATACAATATGCGAAATCGTGTCCACGGTAGTAGCGGTTTAGGTTTAAGGCAGCCTCAAACATCCGTCCCAATGCAAGGATTCAAATTCGGTGGTACGCCTCACACAGTAATGCAACCTTACGGATACAAACCAGTATTACCAAGCAATAGTACACCAAAATTTAATTTCGGCATTCAAAATCAAAGCCAATTTAGGATGCCCCAATCTGGCTTTCGACCTCAACTGATGCAGCAGATGAGTTACCGTCCACCTCAATTCGGTTATCGGCCACAACTTGGCCAACAACCACAACAGTTCGGCTATCGCCCACAATTCGGATCTCAGCCACAACAGTTCGGCTATCGCCCACACTTCGGCTCTCAGCCACAACAGTTCGGTTACCGTCCACAATTGGGCTTTCAACCACAACAGTTTGGTCAAAGACCTCAACAGCAATTTGGACATATGCCAACTACGCAATTCGGCAATAAGCCACAAATTCAGAAACCCAATTTTCAGGAGACTGACGTTTCCATGAGGACAGCCCCTCCAAGGCCACAGCCCGGCTTTAGATTAAATGAGTTAACTTTAAGAGAAAATGACGGACAGTATTATGACGAGTACTATGACACAGACGAGTATGTAGAACAGTATGACAATGAACTGACACCATCCGCTGAGGAAACCATTGACGAAATGACTTATAACGAACTTACAGACGAATCTCAAACTCCAACTATTGAAAATTTTCACATGAAAGCCTCCATAGGAGACAAGAAGTTATAGAATTAAATTGTGATCCGAATCTCAAATTACCCTATATTTATATTCCTGAAATAGATGCAAAATTAATGGCAGATACAGGTAGTACCAGATCCTTTATCAGCCCCCGTAAGGCATACCAATACTTTTATCAATATATAACACATGAACCATTCGAAGTAGTCAGCACCCACGCCTCTAGTAGACACGATGAAGTGATACAAATCCCTCTACCACCCACCTTTAAGAGTTCGGATTGCCATAAATTTTACCTATATGATGTCGACTCTCGCTACGACGGCCTCATAGGTAATGACCTATTGAAACAATTAGATACCATAATAGACCTTAAAGCCCGTAGACTCGATTAGCATACACATGTGTACCAAACATAAACATCGTACGCTCGCTCGATCAAGATACACATGTGTACCACAAGTACTACCCTTTGAAAAATAATTTTTTTTAATTAAAACAAAACCAAAGACACTATGCAATAGATAATAGTATCAAAGACAAAGATATGCTCTTTTATTTTAAACCATAACCTGGCAATGTTTCTTAGAAAAAAAAAAAGAAATCACTCTGAACTTCCGGCGTTCCACGTGTCACTTTGTTGAAGGGGCTCCATCTTTTTTATAGAATTTTATATTTGTATCTGGACTAAAAACGAAAGTATTATACTTTTTTATATTCCTTGTAATATAGTAAACACGTAGATATGTAATTTGTGGTATAAAAAGTGAAAAGTAAATTGCCAAAAGTACTTCAAATTCCGGAAAGCCCGTTTTGGCAGGTGAGTTATAAATGTGTTATTTTTCAAATTCTCATTTATTTTTAGTGTAAAATGTAAGTAAAAATAGTTTTCGTATATATTTCAAATAACATGACGTTGTATTTATTTCAAATTCACACAAACATATTTTAGAAATATTGTTCGAAATGTCATACAGATAAAATATTTTTTTTTTTTAATTTTTATAATATTTTAATATTTTGGTATGAGTAACGAATGGAAACACATAAAACATAAAAATATACATGTTTCCAAACATTTTCATATAAATTTCTCCAAAAACAAAAGTGTAGAATTCAAATTAGTAGTAATTTTGGCACTAAAAGTGAAGTATATACTACTACTTATGCTATAAAGGGTAATTTATGAATTTTATTATAATTTCTAACAACCAAAATAATTTTATTCAATAGTTTATACATTCAACAAGAATTCCTGTAAGTTTTATCCATAAATATTGTCTCAAAGTGAAAATATAGCAAAATTTGCAATATAGCAAAAAATTTGCTAATTTGCAAATTTTCCCGCCAAAAAAGTCGCGAGCGAACGGGAGTGTCATATTACGCGTGACCTCGCGAGCTAACAGGTTAAAACCAAAACAACTTGCATACCAATAGTCAATAATAATTTAAATTACGTTATAACACTACCACCACGATCAGAACAGCGCGTAAAGTTGCCAACAGACCAGTGTTCTGGAGAGGCAATCATTGATTATAAGGAGTTTGTCAGCGGTGTACGAATGCCCAGTGCATTGGTAAACTGCGTTAACGGTTATGCCACAACAGTCATACAGAATGTTCTTGACAATGAAATGATATTGACGGTAACACGACCTTTTACCGTTACTAAGTACGAGACTACTCAATGTGACATAAACCTTACGGGTACCCACGACGACATAGAGATCGATAAGATACTCGAAGAAAATCTACTTAAGCTAAGACTTGATCACACTAACGATGAGGAACGCGACAAAATCTTTAGACTATGCCAAGAATTTAAAGACATATTTTACTGCGACAAACTACCACTGACCTTCGCTAATAAAATTAAACATAAAATACGTACAAAAAATGAAGACCCAATTTACGTCAGACCTTACCGACAGGCACCAATGCAAGTAGAAGAGATAAATAGGCAAGTAGACAAGCTATTAAAGGACAATGTTATTCAGGAGTCACATTCGCCATGGAACGCTCCTGTACACCTGGTACCCAAAAAGTTAGATGCATCTGGTGAAACTAAATTTCGCATGGTCATAGACTATCGACGTTTGAATGACATAACCATCGACGACAAATACCCACTACCAAACATAACAGATCTGTTTGACAAGTTAGGGAAGAGTTCCTACTTCAGTACAATTGATTTGGCAAGTGGTTACCATCAAATTGAAATAGAAGAGCAAGACAGGCAAAAGACAGCCTTTAGCACTCAAAATGGCCACTATGAATTCCTCAGGATGCCATTTGGTTTGAAGACAGCTCCTGCAACGTTCCAGCGGACCATGGACAGTGTGTTAAGGGGATTGCAGGGGATACACTGCATGGTATATTTGGATGATATAATTGTATTTTCAACCAGTCTGGAAGAACATATACAAAAGTTACGGTCAATATTCGACAGACTTAGGATGACTAATCTAAAGATTCAATTAGACAAGTCCGAATTTTTAAGGAAGGAGGTTCTATATTTAGGACATACCATTACGAAAGAAGGGCTACGACCGAACACTGACAAAATTAAAGCTGTGCTAAATTTTCCTATACCTAAGACAACAACTGAAATTAAAAGTTTCCTAGGGCTGGTAGGGTATTATCGACGCTTCATAAAGGACTTTGCTAAAATCACACAACCCCTAACTGCATGTCTCAAAAAGCGAAATAAAATAATCATCGATGAAAAATATATAAGTGCGTTCGAAAAATGTAAAGAAATACTTACGAGTGAACCATTACTACAGTACC